TAATATCCTCGAGTTATAATATTCTGGTGTTTCTAGGGACGTTTTGGTTGGTAAATAAATTCATTTTCAGAATATCTTGGTCGTGGGTGACCTTGAGTAGGAAGTTTAGGCCATTTTGAAGTCTTCTGATCCAGAGTGGTCGAAGACCGTATTTACGATATAGTTCTAAGTATGAACCCTGGATGCCATCACTTCTAGACAAAGATCTAGTAAAACGTCTCTGAATGCCTTCTAGTTTCTTTCGGCCGTCTGAGGGCATTATGCCGAAGAAAAGTGAACAATAATCTAGGAGAGGTAAAACATACATTTTGAAAAGTTTTATTCTTAGTGCATTTAAGGTGACATTTTTGCATATGAATCCACACAGGCGACTGGCTTCCGGTGATATTTGTTGAACGTGGGGAGATAAATCTAGGGTATTTGCATAGCTGAGACCTAAATCTCTTACCCATTGGGCCTCTGTTATTTCATTATCCTCGAATATTATGGGGGAAAGTTTTCGTGGGTCAAATATCAGGGGATGGCATTTTTCGGGTGAAAAGGGCATCTGCCACTGACTACTCCATTCGCTGAGTTTTCTGAGATCAGTTTCAATTGTTCTATGAATATTTGCTACTGTATTCCCGTTATATGCATATGCAATTTTAAGGTCGTCCGCATACAAAAACGTCTTAGCTGAGACAGATATGGACGGCAAGTCGTGAATATATATAAGAAATAGAAGGGGGCCTATGATAGTGCCTTGAAGTACTCCACTGGTAATAGGGGATGGTTCTGAGACTACGTTTCGAATTCACACCACCTGGTATCGGTTTTAAGGATAGGATTTAAGAAAATCGAGAAGGGGTGGCCTAATTCCATGACTTTTTAGCTTTATTAGTAGTCTTTTATGGGGGACTTTGTCAAAGGCCTTTCTTAGATCGAAGTATATTGAAGCTACTGTCAGTCAGTCAGTCAGCCAGTGTATTTGAGGGAAATAGGCTTACGCCTTTGAACTCCCTATTTGTACATAAAAAAATCGATAAATTAGCAGAATGTGAAGAAATTACAGCAGTAAGTGTATGCAGGCATTGATTCACATATGACACTGGTCTCATGGCTAAAAAGTCACATAGTCCGCATGGTGCTGTAGCATATGTCTGTCAAGTCTACATTTAAATGTCGCCACAGATTGAGACATGACAACCGTCTCGGGCAGATTATTCCACGGTTCCACGACACGGTTGGAGAAGAAATATTTTCTCACATTCAATCTACCCTGGGGCACACGTAGCTTGAAGGGATGTACCCGGAGGTTAGTTGTTGTGGCGAATTGGAAAAATTCATCGTACCGAAGGGCGCAGTCCAAGCCACGCACGATAGGGAAAGTTTGTATCAAGTCTCCGGGCAACCGCCTATAACTCAGAGGATACAGATTAAGGTTAGTTAAGCGGATCTCGTATGGCAGTGCACTTTGAACTCTTACTAATTTTGTGGCTCGCCTCTGCACCCTTTCGAGCAGATTGTAATCCTGATGTGTCCATGGTCTCCAGGCCTGAATTGCATATTCGAGATGCGGCCTTACAAACGTGCCGAAGACTTTGGAGAGGCAGTCTTCATCGAAAACTGCGAATGCCCGCTTGATGGCATATAGCATTGAAGTTGCGGCCTTGGCCGCCTTACAACACTGCGTAGAAGGCTTAAGGCTCTCTGCAACCCAGACTCCGAGATCTTTCTGCGTTTCTGCATCTCGAAGAGGTATTCCGTTCAGATGGTATTGCCGCGTACTAGGGGTCTGATGTCCGAGACGCAGTATGGTACATTTGGTCAAATTGAAGGACAAGAGCCATCTGCGGGACCACTCGTCCAATCTACAAAGATTTTCTTGGAAGTTGGTCTCATCGGTAGCATTCTGGATAACTTTCCAGATTTTTATGTCATCCGCAAACATGGCATTATCACAGTCCAACCCGTTGGCACAATCATCGATGAACAAGAGAAAGAGGATTGGTCCGAGCACCGAGCCTTGTGGGACTCCACTCTCTATGAATGTGCGCTTTGATTGCTGTCTTTCTACGCAGACAATTTGGGAACGGCCGACGAGGAAGTTCTCGATCCATTTGAGAAGTTTGCCGCCGATGCCCATTATTCTCAACTTGTGCAGGAGACGTTGGTGCGGGACACTGTCGAACGCCTTCCGGAAATCAACATAGGCCACATGCACAGTGTGTTTTGCGTCCAGTGCTCTTGTCCAACTTTTCATTGTATATAGTAAGTTCGTTACACATGATCTTCCCCTACAGAATCCATATTGTGCATTGGACAAGAAATTGTGACTTTCCAGATAAGTCATCAACTCCTTTTTGATGATTTTCTCCATCACTTTGCAGAAAATTGATGTCAGACTGACGGGTCTGTAGTTCGTTGCAAGAGCACGACTACCGCTTTTGTAAAGGGGTGTAATGTGGGTCGTCTTCCAGTCTGTGGGAAGGATTCCAGCATCGAACGATTCCTGACACAGAAAGGATAGTGGTTTGGCCAGCTCTCGGGAAAGCTCGAAAAGCAGCTTTGCTGGGATCTCGTCCGGACCGGGAGATTTACATTCCTTCAAGCTTTTTAGTTCTTTCAAAATCGTTGATTCTCGAAACACGATATCTTCGATAGTGGGATCTCCCATGTTCGCGGAACTAGTGGGAATAAAGTCTGCTTCTCCTGTGAAAACGGATTGGAGATATTGAGAAAAGTGCTCAGCTTTATTTTTACTGTCCGATATCTCCAAACCGTCATCATTCGTCATGACCGGAATCGGATTCCTGTTACATGTGCTCTTTCGCAAATAGCTGTAGAGCACTTTTGGATTTTTAACGGCTCGATGAAGCAAATTACTCTCAAAATCCCGTCGTCTCTCGAAAATCAGGCTTTTCACCTTATTTCTTTGAACTTTATATTCTGTAAATGCTGCAATGTTGTTGTTTTCCCGAAATTTCCTCCCCAATCTTCCTTTCTTATTGATCTCCTTTTTTAGTTCTCGTGTTAGCCATTGAGGGCGGTTGGATGTCCTAGGCTTTGATACGGGACAGTGGCTCTTCATTAGATGAAATAACCAACCCTTAAATAAATTCCAGTCCTCGTTGACTTTTCCGGGGAAGAGAACATCCCAGTTTGTTTGTGATGCCTCAGCTCTCATTTGGCAAAAGTCCCCTTTCCATATAGTCGGCCTCGTATCCTCTTTTTTATACGGTTCAGAATAAAGCTCGTACTCCCATAAAAGTACTGCATGAGCGCTTCGACCAAGCGGGGCAGGTAGTACACCTCGTCTATACTGTCAGGATCTTTGGTGAAGACGAGGTCCAGACAACTAGCCTGTTGCCCTTCACGTGCTCTAGTTGGAAATAGGACACGTTGCGTGAGAAGAGCCTCTAGGGTTGTCTTTAGTAGACGGTAATCGAAGGCATTCTTCGAGCACTTCGCATGCATATCGCTCCATTGAATGCAGGGTGCATTAAAATCCCCCATGAGAACAACGTCTGGTCGACTGGCGATCTCTTTTATGCTTTCCAGTAGACAAGTGTCTGAGTCGGGATCCGCCTGAGGGGGCCTGTAGATAGTTACGACTTCGAGGGACTGAGACCCCCGTGCCTTTATAGTCAGCCAAATTGCTTCTGTATCGTTAGAAATTTTGTCCGTCCTCTCACACACTGTTAAGTTGCACTTTACATACATGGCAACTCCTCCACCCCGGCGGCCCCTCCTGTCTCTCCTAAACAATTGGTATCCTGTTAGTGCTACCTCGCATTCACCCACGTTCTCTGACAGCCACGTTTCTGTTATTGCTATAACATCGGGAGGAGTATCGGCTACCTGTATTTTCAGTTCATCAAGCTTGGAAAACAGACTCTGAGCATTGGTGTAAAAGAACTTAAGTTTGCAACATTCGACAATACTTCGTTCGGTTTGTCTCGGGCTTGACAATATTATGTTGCTACCGCCATCATGATCACTGGCTGGTTCCGAAGCAACATCGCATTCCTCTGTATCACTCGTCCCCTGAAAATGACCAAGTTGCTCTCTCCTGCTGCAAGTCTCCTCTTCAGCTCCATGACTAATTCGCGGCGTTTCAGACGTTCCGCTGGAGAATAGTCCGGTTGAAAAAAAACTTCCTTGTGAGAGTTTCGGAGGCAGCTTTTCCTGGACAGAAGTACGCTAGCCTCCTCTTTACTGTCCAAAACGATTTTCAGAGGTCGTGGCCGCACAGTTTCCGATTGTTCGCTCACCTTCTGTCCGATCCTGAAGGCTGCGTGAATAGTTACCCTTTCATTCGAATTAAGCATTTTGTTCAGAAGGTGTTGAAGCATATCGAGGTCAGCGGAAATCCTCTCCTTCGGGGTAGGAGCATTCGACTCCGATAGGCCCTGAACGACTACGCAGTGCTGACGATCCAGGGGTTCATTTGTTCTGTTTCCGGCGGCCTTGTCAGCTGAAGGTCTCAGGAGATCCACCGGAGTCGTCTGGGGTTTGATACTCCTGTTGTGGTGCTTACCCATCCCATCTTGCCACGAGCTTGTTTCCTCACTTCCAACCAAGGGTACTACTGAACACGCGGAATGGCTGAGAGAACTTGACTGTTCGCTTCGGTTGTCTTCCGTAGAAACAGGAGATTCTGTTGCTATTTGTCCGTCGTCATTGGTATCGGCGTCCTTGCACTGAGGTTTTCCGCAAACCTTGTTCTTTGGCTGTTTGGGAGTTTTGCTCTTCCCCTTTGTCTTGCTGACTCTAGCGCTGGTAACCGCGTTTTGCCTACCATCGTTGGCTTGCACGAGTTCCTTTAAAGCAGCGAGCTCTTTTTCAAGTTTTTGGACTTTCAGAAGAATATAGGAGCACCCAGTGCACGACTCGTCCTCGTAACTAACTGATTTTGCTGTCGTTACGCTTTTAGCGCGCTTTGCGGGTCCCTGGTTGCAACTGTAAAGAGAGCGGACGCTAATCCTGGGAGGCAAGGCCATGTCAATAGACTTTCCTTCATGCATACTGCCGGTCCTGGTCGTGGAACTATAAAAAAATTGCTCTGTGTCCATGAGTTTCGTGTGTTCGTAAGCTTATATTCGCTTTCGAGATTCAAACTAGTAAATACGACTGTATACGATGAAGTATGGCAAATATTCGAAACCAAATGGTCGAAAATAAGGCTAGTTTTTAAAAAGTCGATGTAGAGAAAAAATATGAACGGTATGAAATATATGTAGGAGCAACTCAGCCGTTTTGAGCATATTGAAGGCCCTGAATAACTCCCGATCTTCCTGGGTGTCAACGATTTTGTATTCATAGGCCGATATCTGCGCGCGAATCGACTCCGTAGCCCGTTGGATTTTGATGAAAAACAAATTCCGCTTTCTATTCCTCAGGACCTGGCGATCGAGATAATCGAGCTGCTTCTGCAAAGCAAATACGATGAAACGAAGAATCGTCTTGGACGCGCCCAAGTCCTTGAACTCCTGAAGTTCTGTCTCAGGACGTACTTCACGTTCGACGGGACAATCTACGAACAGGTGAAGGGCACACCAATGGGTTCGCCGATTTCGGGATTCATCGCCGAGGCGGTCCTGCAACGGTTAGAGTCGCTGATCTTCCAACACCACAAACCGACGTTCTGGACCCGGTATGTGGATGATACCTTCGTCGTTATCGATCGGGATCAACTGCTGACATTCAAGGAACGTCTGAATGCGGTCTTCCCGGACATACAATTTACGATGGAGGAGGAAGAGAACAACCAGCTGGCCTTCCTGGATGTCCTCGTATGCCGCAAGGATTGTGGTGGACTAAAGACCAAAGTGTTCAGGAAAGCGACAAATACGATGCAAGTACTGAACTTCAACAGCAACCACCCAATCCGTCACAAACGCAGTTGTGTAAGGACGCTCTATCGGCGTGTCGAAACACACTGCAGTGAGCCGGAAGACAAGATTGCTGAACTACAATACCTCCGACGGGTATTCAAAGCCAATGGCTACCCGAGCAACTTTGTCAACCGGTGCATACGCAAAATGGACGAAAGGCCTAACCGCAGGGACACCAAAGTTTGGCGAGCGCTTCCATATGTCAAGAACGTTTCGGAAGCTGTTGGCCGCCTTCTCGCACCGCTGGGGGTCGGAGTTGCACACAGGTCAGAGGCAACCATCAGGCGTCAATTGATGAAACCAAAAGACCCACTGCCACGGCAAGAAACGTCTGGAGTCGTTTATCGGATCTGGTGAAGTTGCGGACAAAGCAACTACGTCGGAGAAACCGGAAGACAGCTCCGAACGCGAATGGCCGAACACGCTACAGCAGTGCGGGGAAATGACGCCAGCTCTCAAGTTGCGGCTCATTCGACGGGTTCCGGCCACACATTCAAATTCGACGAGGCCGAAATTCTCGCAAGAGGTGACAACCGCGTGAGCCGGGAGCTGCTTGAGTCATGGTTCACTGGCCCCCAGTCTATTAACAAGTGCAATGATCTTCCCATTCAATACAGCGTGCTGAGACTTCGTCCAGGCGGAGAAAGTGGCCACGCGGGGAGCGCCTTGATGAACACTATTCCCAACACTCGGGTCAGCGCGTCAGATGGTCGAGCAATCATCACACCAACATCCAACGCACTTGATGAAATTGCAGCAATTAACGACGCGAATATCGACCATCACGCCACGTGCAACGATCCCTGATGAAGGGGAGGGAGCCGTGAACATTCATAGGTATGTGGTGGCATGGCTACTGCTTCCTATAAATACTGCAGCCACATGTGCATGAACCACCCTAATTTGCTTATGTCTCTGATGATGGATTCGAGCAGGAATCCGAAACGTCAGGCTAATAAAGCTCTTGTCCCGGCGATCGTTTCCTCTTCTTCAATAGTTCGTGGTCCTGACTGTCGATGATTACTCATTAGTTTCTGAAACGTCTGAGTTGTTCGTTCGGGGGATTCTAGTGCCCGATATTCTGCTGCTTTGGTCTTTTGTGTTTCTATTTTCGTTACTAGGTCGTGAATTTCCCTAATTCGCCGAAGTGTGGAAAAATAACTTACGGAGGGGTCGCGTAGCTGTTTTTGTAGCTTTTTTGGTCTAGTTGAAAGGAAGTTCGGGATTGGTGATTTCTTATACGGGAGTCTTTCGTCTATCAAGGTATCTCGAATTACAAATAGGACAGAATATAATAGGTTAACTGCTTCCATAGGGGATGTTGTTAGAAGATATGGGCTCCAGTCCAATGATCTAATATAGTTGTTCATGGAGTCCTCATCAAGTTTTTTGGGTTAAGACGGGTGTTACTAAAATGGGGTGCTAGTTTTGCGTTTAAGGAGTGTTGATATTGTTGCTTTGTGGTCACTTTCAAAGGTTGCGCAGTCGTAGTGCATATAGAGGGGCCAGATATCGTTGGTGAAAATAACGTCTTCTGTATTGTTTCCTCGGGTGGGTTTGTCAACTAGTTGTGTCCGGTTATTAAAGATAATTGAAAACAAGAATTTTTCGTGCCTGGTAGGTGCTGATAATTCGACCTAGTTTATTTCTGGGCGGTTTAGATCGCCTGCAATTATCTTATATTCAGTTTTTATGCTAGCTATATTGCTTATTAAGAGGTTGAGGCTTGTGTCATCACTACTACATTCTGGAGGGGAGTAGAGGCATCCGACTAGTATGTTTCCCTGGGCATGAGGTTTTATTGTGGCAAAACACGCTTCTCCAGCAAAGGTTTCGGTTGGGACATCAATACCACTTTGCTCAGTGCTAGTTTTGATGTAGATAAAACGACCTCCGCCTCGTTTATTGACACGGTCCTATTGATAGAAATTATAATTTGGGACATATAGCGAAGCATTCGATATAAGTTCATTTGCCCATGTTTCTGTAATGCAAATTACACCGGGGTTATATATTTCAACAAAAGTTCTAAGCTGGGATATTTTGTTGACAATCGATCTCGAATTTATAAGAGCTATCTTTAGGATGTCGGATATGGAAGAGGTGGGCTGTGGTGAAAATAAAGGATTTCTGGGGGTACTTTGATTGAGTGATGGACTAAATGGAGGTAGGTGTGTGGTTCTTGGAGGATGTGGTGATGCGTATGGCGGAGTGTGAGTGCATGGGCTAGAGTGTATGGACTGAGGGTACATATGGGGAGGTGCGTTAACTAGGTGGTAATTGTACCTAAATGGAGTTTCAGTTGGGGAGGTGTAAAAGCCAAAGTAATCTGTATGGCTATAATTAGGGGGTAAGGAGTTTGGAATGCTAGAGTGGTTTGGCTTATTTCTATGCCATGCAGGTGGATTTTGGGGAATCGAGATGCACTTGTAGAAGCTTATTTGCTTTAGTTAGAGTTTGGTGGACTTCTCTTTGCTATGTCAACGTACCTAGGGCGTTTTGGTTGTGTTGGTGTGCTTAGTAAGTCCTTTTGGTTTATGTGTCTTGTTTGGCAGTCGTTTTCTAGTACTGATTGATCGGTTTTGGGGGGTGTCGTAAAACTTATATTGCTATCTAATGGTGTCACATGACTGGATCCGGGATCTGCATCATCGTTCTGTTCTAGCTGAACGTTGTTAGTTTGTTGTGCTTCCCTCGTTTGTTTCTGACCAGCCGGGCTGTGGATAACTAGCAATTATTTCATCCTGGCAAGCCCTCTGCGATGAATACGGAGGGCGCCCAGTTTTCATAGCTACGCGAAGACATAGTGTCTGCACACTGCAGCACCTTGCTATTTAAGCAGTTGTCGCACCATGTGCGAATATCTGCGACGAATGCAGGAGCTGCCAGCTTTGATTAACATAGCAACCGCATCTTATAAATACTGCAACGCCTGTGAGACTCACTGCCGTTGTCTGATTTACTCTCTGATTCTGGGTTCGAATTTGAATCCGAAACGACAAGGGGACAAAGCCCTTATTACAGCGGTCGTGTCTCGTTTGCAAGCTTTTCCCGGGACTCGCTTCTTCATTTTCATAGGCATGTCGCTCGACCACCATGATGTATCCCCAAGGCTGATAATAATCTGCTAGATGGCCTAGAAGGATTCGCTACTCCGTCTGACGTCTTGATAATGGACTGCTTTAATGCACGACTTATTTACTGGTGTTCAGTTTACGCGTTTGGTCCAGAAGTAACTTTTGAGCGAAATTTATAAGATATGACGTTTAGGGTATTTTTCTCTCAGCACTTTCTGTTTACCACGAGGATGCGTGAGAGATAATGGTCAAACTGTTTGGTGCTGTCGACATCGTTGGACTGCATTCGTGTGGTGTCACATCTACCTCGCTAGCCGGAGGTGATCACGCCTTACTGTTCTGGAGATATTTCATTATTTCTATGCCTGAACAGCTCATCCAAATTAGAGAAAATATTTGACGCGGTGACTTCGATCAGACTTCGAAAAGACATCGAAACAAACCTGTCAGACACTGAGGTCTGAGAAACCAATCCCATTATACAGATCCATAGGAAGGAGCATGCAAAAGAGACCTTGTACTCGTGCTGAAAACCAGCAATAATAATTGTATATGATGCCAGTTTACAGGCATTTTCAGGGAAAGGTTGAACAAAAATCTGGCTAGTAGTGAAAAAAGTGCCTAGAGACTAGCGACGACGGAGCAAAAATAGGACATCTCTCATAATGCCGGACTGGGTCTCCCACCTTCTCCATGGAAACCACACGAGCTGTACACCAACTCTCTAGAGGGGAAAACCCGGTTCCGAAGCGGTTGTAGCTGAAGTTTACAAGCAAGGCGGCCTCCAATTGATGGACAACTATACGCTCACTTCCAATAGATACGACACCAAGGACAAGTTTCCCAAGATTTCGAGGGCCCGACGGTCGTCCAGCTCCACAAGCGAAAAGGGAGTCGGCAACTCTATGAAAACCATGGAGGATTTTTACTGTTCGACATCAGGTGGAGATCTTTGCTCGAATCCTTCTCGACCGCTTCATCGGCCGTCTGACACAAGGACTTATGCCAGAAACCAGTTACGGCACGATAAACTACGATGTGCTCTGAAAAATCATACGGAAATTGGGATGTCTTGGGCGATTAGTGCGCATGGTGCGTTAACTCCAGGACGGGATGATGGCGCACTGTATCGAGAGCGGAAAGTCTCCGAAGCCTTCACAGTGTCCAACAGAGTGAAAGTGGACTGCGTACTCTCTCCTATTCTCCTCAGTTTCATATTCTCTCTCACGCCGTTAGATGCACTCCTTGATGAGTGCCCTGAGATTTGCCTCGCCTACAGGACCGATAGCCAACTCCATAATAGCCGGTGTACGCTGGCCCTTTGCGGATGACTGCCCGCTAAACACCGTGACAGAAACAGACATTCAGCGGAATCTGGGTATCATCGCCTTCGGCTTGGCCAATTTCGCGGTGGCCATTAACATGAGCAAAACGGTAGTCGTACATTAACCGCCGCTATGCGTTCTATAAAATGTTCCTCGAATCCAGCCTGAAAACGGTGGACGCCGTCGTCTGTTTATGCGCCACACGCTCCCGTAGCTCAAAACAGTGACAAATGCAACGGGAAATTCGGCTGGTGAAAAAATGAGGTGTTTGCACACTAATACTCAAAGCCTCATATCGAAACTAGACGAGCTAAAACTTTGTCTTGCCGAGCTGTCTCCAGATGTTTTAGCAGTAACCGAGACCTGGCTGTCCGGGAATATTAGCGATAGCGAAGTAGCCTTGCCTGGATACCAAATTTGTCGGAGGGTCAGGGAACATCGTTAGGGTGGTGGTAGAGTTGTGTATGTGAATGAGGGCCTGACAGTGTCGGAAAAAACCATCAAGTTTTGCGTGCGGCACGGAAGCCCTTTGGTTGGCCATCAAGGCCACCGGTTCCCCGTGTCTCGATGTCCTCACTGTCTACGACCACCTAGAACAGACCAAATCGCCGACACTCAATTATTGGGGCTGTTGGAGAAATTTTCCAGTCGACCTAACATCATGATCATGGGCGACTTCAACGTACCAGGAACAAACTGGAATACCCTCCAAGCGTCAGGTCCAAAATCGGCATTCGATTACCGCCTGTTGAGCAAAACATTAAATGCGTGCCTCACACAACATGTTATGTTCCCAACGAGAACACGTGAAGGACAAAGGGCAAACTGCCTCGATCTGCTTTTACGAAAACATCAGACAGCATAGACGAGATCACCTCCATGCCGCCCTTTGCCTGAAGTGATCACGTAGTGCTTATGTGGGATTATTCGTTATTCGCCGTTTTACATACTCCAGACCAAAAAAGACGGAATGTTTGGCGAGGCGACTCCAATCAGATGAGGGCAGACTTATCCGGTTTCGACTGGGGCTCATTGTTTACAGGAAATGCCAACGATTACTGGAAGCTGTTCAAGAATGTCCTCCTGCAGCTCATCAACAACCACTGCCCACTGACTAGTGTAAGACTGAACAAACACCCCTGGGTGGCTAAATAGTAACCTTATAAAAGAAATCAACAGGCGGCACAAATTGTGGAGAAAATGCTGTGTCACTAGGCAAGTTGAATATTTCAACACCTACAAGTCACAGAGGAACAAACTGAGAAACCTGATCATGAAGACGCAGAGGGTATTCGAGAAGAACTGGCTACAAAAAGTAACGCAAAACCCAAAATTACTCTACAGCTACCTCCGACGAAGTACAAGGAACAGGCATCAAATCCCCGTAATAAGGACTACTGATGGCGTTGAGATTGCTGATATTAGGGATAAAGCTGCGTATTTTGCACAGTTCTTCCAATCAGTCTGCACAAACGAGGCAAGGTTCCTTCCCTCCTCAACAGAAGAACTGCCGACACCAAGCGCCAGTGATATACTCTTCTCAGAAGGCATTGTCCGAAGAGAATTAAAGGAATTGGACGAATCGAACTCGCCAAGACCAGACGAGATTCCATCCAAGCATCTCAAGGAACTTGCCAGTGAGCTCTCTGTGCCTTTGTCGATGCTATTTCAAACGTCATTTGACACTAGAACACTTCCTGTCGATTGGAAGCTGGCGCATATTACTCCGTTACACAAAGGAGGTAACAGGGCAGCGACGACTAATTACAGGCCCATAAGCTTGACATGCATTCTCTGCAAAGTTAAGGAAAGGATCATAAAGAGTGGACTGATGCATTTCCTGGAAGTTCACGGCCTGCTATCGAAATGCCAACATGGGTTGCGGAAAGGAAGATTCTGCACGACAAACTTGCTGCAATCTCTCCAGAGCTGGACCCAAGCTCTCGACGACAGGCACGCGGTCCATATGGCCTTCATCGACTTCTAGAAGGCATCCGACACTGTGCCACACCAGAGACTCTTACATAAGCTAAAAAATAGGGATCAGTGGCAACTTCCTTAAATGGATTGAAAACTTCCTTTTGGGTCGACAGCAGGTAGAGTGCATCGGTCAAGAGGAATCCGATCCTGCTATGGTCGAGAGTGGTGTCCCCCAGGGTTCAGTATTGGGACCCATTTTGTTCCTTATTTACGTGGACGATGCCGCAAGGGCTTTGGACTGCGAAGTAGCAATGTTTCCCGATGACATGAAGATATGGATTGTAATTGGGGGTCCTGCCGACGAAGACAGACTGCAGATGAACCTGAATCGGTTGGAGGAGTGGTCAAACCGTTGCCTCCTGCGGTTCAACGCTGCCAAATGTAGCATACTTCTCCTAGGCAACACAACCAGATCCGCCAGCACAAGAGACTACTTTCTGGGCGATGCAGCTCTACAAGAGGTCGAAGCCCAAGAGGACCTCGGTGTGCTGACGACCAGTTCACTAAAGCCATCCGCTCACTGTTCGAGAGTGGCAAAAACCGCAATGTTCGTACTGTACGCCATAAAGCGTGCATTTATGGACTTTGATGAGGATGCTTTCTCAAAGACATTCGGCACATTCACCCGGCCGCATTTGGAGTATGACATACAGGCCTGGAGACCGTGGGGGATTGAGGATCAAAACTGCCTCCAAAGAGTTCAGAGGAGAGCCACGAAGATGGTTGGGGGTCAAAGCTCCTTTCCTTATGCAACCCGCCTAGTAAATCTGAACCTCTTTCCTTTGAGTTACAGGCAACCTCGCGGGCATTTCTTGCAAGCCTCCCGCATTGTAGAGGGGTTGGATTGCAGTCTGGCCTTCGGGGACTTCCTACGCCAAAGCAGCAAAGATAGCTACGTGTATCCTGGCAGCAATCAGGATGTCCTTCCCTAACTTTCATGGAGAGCTTTTTGTTCGAGTGTTTGGAACATATATGCGGTCGACGTTAAAATATTGCGCACGGGCGTGGCGTCCCTGAATGAGGCAAGGCAAAATTCTTCTGGGAAAATCTCAACCAAGGGCTGCCAAGCTAGTCAGCGTACTTAGGTGCTTACCTTATGAGGAACAGCTGAACATTTTCCACTCTTTTACAGACAGTACAGAAGGAGTATGGTTATATCGTTCAGACGCGTCAGAGTAGCAGACTGTGCACTTCCTTTGACCGCTTTTTTGAACAGCCCAAATGACAAATCTCTGAGGGCACCAGAACTAATTAAAGATAAAGTACGCCAGGCATTAAGCACGGAACATAATACCCTATTCGGTTGTTGGGAAGTAAAGCGTTCTGATATTCAGAAGAAGACTTGATAACACTGTACGTGATGGTCACCTGTTCACTTGACAAGGACTGGCTTAATGCAATCATATTGTCATGTAAACATATGTACGTTTTTCATCGTATGAAGATAAATCGAGCTTAACCTATCATCCTTACACATACTGAATAACATAAGTATGTCATATTGCAACAACGCCCAGCACAATCTCAAGAACTAATTGATCATCTCATCCCGAACTCATGTCATAAATATCCATTCCCTCATGCAGCTCGGCAGACATTATAGCGGTCAAGGATGTGAGATCGGCTTGAGACACACACCATAATTTCGCCCCGTCTAATATCAGAAGTCAGGAGGTTGTGAGGACTGGCTTATTCTGTGCACAGCCCAGGTCGCCATGAGTTGGCTGTTTGCTTGTGACAGAGATAAGCGTCCGTTTGCAGAGAGCTTCAGTCGCCATGTGTCTTGCTGTGTGATGCTGTCGCACATTTTATGTTGTCTATGTGTGTTAACACCACTGGTCTCTTGTACCTGCCTGTGTTGCCTACCAGCGAAAGGGGTTGCGATGATTGGCTTCGAGAGTACGCGAGGGTGATGGCAAATCTAGCATGGTGCAGGCAGGAAATCGTCCGGATGCGTGGTGTGGACGGAAGTACAGCGAGACAAATCGATGGTTCGTGTGCGGAGCCGTGACGCGTGTACAGTCGAACGAGCAGACGCTGCCTCCTATCCTCAGAAACTCTGAGAACGCAGAAGTTTTAGGCGGACTCCCGTTAGTAGTACTGAGTTGCACACTTTATGGGAAGCGTTATGTTCGCTAATCTACCTCGCCTTTCGCAATGCCCCACTCTTCAATCACAGTCAGGACACAAAGGGTTATAAAACTGCGGGTTTCCTCGCTCAAACCGATTCCAGCGCCATGGAATACCTCATTGACTTGGCCATTATTTTCCGCGTAGAAGCAGGGCACAATTATTGCGTTGCCAGCCATCAGATGGCGACGAACGCCATATTTATCCGGTGCCTTTTTTCCCGTAATGATAATAGGGTAATGCAGTGCTTAAGAGGAACTAAAGACGCAGTGGGTCAGCAGTCTCTAGTTCAAAAATTTTGCAAAATTTCTATTTTGACTGCTGACGCCGACTATGTAAGAAACGCGTAAATGAAAACGTCCTGTGTCGTTCAGCTCAACCTGCACCACCTGGTCTTCAGTTCAAATAAGTGGTCCTAGCACAACCATTATCTATTAGTATGTTGCTCATGGGAGACCACGTGGATAACGAACCGCGATCTGCCACCCAGAGTACTTACAGTATAAGGCAAACGTAACATATGACCTCATGTCCTGCAGTTTTTCCGGATGTTTCTTAGTCGTAGATCCTACCTACTTTTACTTTACTAAATTAGGATTATCAGTGCGGAGTCCCTATAATTTTGAAGAACTGGAATATCTAAGCATTCCCTAAATTTCGGCTCATGTGAATCTAAAAATTGAACTGACACTTTTCGGGAAATGCCCTAAACGAAGGCTTCGTAGGATGGGATTATTTTTTCCTTTCCTGTACATTCTGACTCAAGTCACTATATTGGCTACTCAACATCATTTCTCCGATGACCTTCAATTCGATGTTTGGAACGATGTAATTATATCACCTGGATTAACCAAAATTACCTTCGGCCCTCCGCCAGTCGGACCCGGAATAATAAGTTTTTCCGTGCATAGTCCATTTAACAAAGTATTTGCGTCTCTGTCGCCAGGATGCCCACGAGAGGTTTCTCAATATGGCACGCATTTGGGTTTGATTAGTCGCCAGCCCGTGGAAAATTCGTCGGCACTGTTGTACATTTGTTCCTCACACACTGGTTGGCTTATGGGTGCAGTCAAGGCGTCTGCATATTCCACTGGCTGTATGTTGTCATTTGCTTATATGCCCGTTTGCAGTTGCGATTCCTGGAGGTTGTGGAAAGGCGTCTACGGACGTTTTTGGAGTGTCTACAATCATTGCGCGATGGGACAGCCATATGAACATTGAATCGGAAAACTCCAGTAAAACCGGACATCTAGACTTTTGGACCTCCAGCGTGAATTTTTATGCTGCAGACGTGCCTCGAGGTTTGAACGAGTCATGCGCTGAAGTGCTTGCCCCAAACTCGACCCTGATGGACAATATTATTTATCACGTCTACTCTGTGCCGCTGGTCACATGCGGTGGATCGTTAGACAGCTTTGAAAATCCGCGAACAGATGAGATTCTGAAGACTATAAGCCGCATATCATCCTCGGGCGATACACTTTTTCACGGTTCTTTGATAGTGAGTGTCAAAGCAAGGTACGTATTTTGATGTTCACAACCGTCTAATTGCGCCTGCGCTCCCATTCCAAATCCCACCTTTGCCTCTCTGTTTTGGCGACTTTTCATCTTGAAGTTAAGTAACGAGAGCTTTCATGGGAACGATTTAAACCCTGTCAATCGGTCTGGCTTAAAACCGGATGCCTCGTATGACAAAAGCATGTAAACGGGACGACGAACAGTGACATCAGGTATCCCCTATGAAAGAGTAATGCAAATTAGATCCTGGTTAAACTAAGGAAAGTCATCCGTATACTATGACAATTATTTTGGAAAGACTATCAAAAGCCACCAACAGAGAGCAACATTCGAGAAGCTTTTATTATTCACCTTGTCTAGAATTAGGGCATATAGAATTTTTGGTGAACGTTGAGCATCAGCGTACCGGCCAGCTAGGAAATCAGAAATGTAGGCAACGCGTGTGCTGGATGGAGAAAAACGGAGAGACTTCCCAGATCAGATCTGGTCCAAATACTAGGTAATGCTCTTATCAAGTGTATGGTATAACGATTCAGTATGTTATTGGTGCGAAGGAATCAGAGAAAAGGTATCGATCACCAGTACCCATTTTTCGAGCTCATGAGCTCTCGAAATCGAAAACCACTTTTGCCCTCAGAAGTCCATAATTAGACTCAACAAGCGTTCCGTTGTCTACTTCCTGATCCCAGAAACCAATAGCGCACGGGTACAGCCTCCTCTCAAAGTCCACTCGCTCATCATTTAGGTTGAAGACAAGGGGGGGGGACAATACCATTTCGAATAGGGATTCGGAGAGATTATGTCACTCACTGACTCTCCTCACTCCCACCACGCCTTAGAGAACCATGAATGCCGACGACCGTTTTCGTCGTCAGTAGGTGTCCTCGGTCGGCGGTAGTTTTGCGTTTTAAAATTATCCTTTAGCCGAATCTACAGTAGTCTCGCTGGACTGTGATTGCCAAATGCGTCGGCGTTGTGCGAGTCCGCAGTATACGGTTATGAACCACCCCCGTAGCATACATCGCGGCTGTATCGTGGAAGCTTCCAGAGACAAGAAATGCTAAACAGGTTGTATTCGAGCTTTTGTTAGTCATTGCCTCGTCTCTAACCGAGAGCATCCGTGGTATGTAGAACAGTAGATATCTTGGGCTAATCACATTCAAAAGGTTGAAATATTCCTTGAAGTGTGAAGCCTTTGAACATTATTCCAGTTTTCGTGGCTTTCGGTTTCAAACCGCATTTATAGTAGAATGGATGCATACAATTAAGGACATGTTAGGCTTGATCACGGGACATTTTACCATACCTGGATACCTTAGGTGTTCTGGTCGGCTGTGCGCGGAACCAGCTTTGCCTAATTATGAAGAAAGACTTGCGAACCTACACCTTTTTAGTCGTAAACTCCTAATTCCAAATGCCTGTTTTCTAAGCTCTGTACCCGAGCCTATATCGTTATGATTAATTAATATGCACTGAAAAAAAATCAGGAATTTCAGGTACGTATTATGACTCTTGGAAAGCACTTCTGTCTACCGCGTCCACTCCACCTGCTGCAGAAGTCAGCAAAGTTAACAGTCTTCATTTGATAACTGTATTGTGTCTGTATAATCTGTAGAAAAATGAATACTTGGCCAAACTATTTCCTGCGAGAGCGAAATCCGGTCTCATTTTTGCTTGTCAATACAACTGGAAGTGCATAAAGTTTATGGGGATACTAAAGGGATCTTTATGACCATGTTAGGCTGATGCGCATGCACCCGAAGAATTCTAATTTGTTGGCAACCAAAACAGTGATGTCCCAGTACTATGCAGCTGGCTCGTTATAACGCACTTTCAGATGACTCCAGATATCATCCAAAATGAACATCAGCACAGTTTTTGTCGATTTTACCTCACAGTCCGCTCGCATCCATCACCATCGAAAGCCCTGGGCTTCTTCTTTAATAACGGCCAACTACTGCAGAGAATAATCACAGTCATTATCTGGTTTCGATGCCGTTTATAGCTGTGTGCATATGCAGATGTCAGACCGGGCAGTTCGATGAAGTGCTCTTTCTGTCATGGGAATCACCCACTCAGTGAGGTATCAGGAAAAACTGTTTTCCCTCCAATCGCCAGACTAACTGCCAGAAAAAAGCACACAGAGTTTGCCTGTATTGCCGAACATCGAGTCTCGCTCAGACTCTGTGCTCGGCCTCAATCAAGCTATCTGATGACGCAGTGCCCAAAAATTCGGACGTGCCGCACTCTACCAGTCAGTTACATAGTGTTGACTGGTATCCAGTCTTTTGGTTTTCGTCTGCCGTGGTCTAGATTAACAAACAGGATATGAGCTATGCCGTTCGTGGATATTGCCCATTTCTTTCCGGTAGAAGACTTCTGGAAGTCATCGTATACTATCAGAACGAAGCGGCATTTGACGCTCTGCCTCCATCGCGACTGACTGCTGCAAATACCGAAGCATTTAATGGGAGTGGCTTATGAGGGCTCCCTGAAGGGCAGTCGCTCTCTCACAAGTTCGAGATGTGCCTTTCTCGGTTCCTCACTAAACAACAGTAAGAACCTGCGGTCTACCAATATTTGCCTGCCAGGATACATTCGATATGCCTGTCAGTTTTCACCCCTGTAGGTGCCTCATTAGTTCTTCTTTGTTGAAACGGGCTTATCGTCTTTATCACGGCCTAAGAGTCAGGTCTTGCTGCTAACTTGCCTACCGATAGCGGACTTCTCAACGACGTGTTGAGTCGTTGTGCCAGCCTTGCCACTGTTCACGTCTCAGACCCCCGAGATAGTTATATTTGTCTTTTGACACAAGGGTTCATATGGCCAGCATTTGTGTGCCTGTGTCTTTAAGAACGTGCTCGTTTAAGCAAGCAATGCTGACTTCATCCATTTACGACGGATTTCAGACCGCATACTCGATATCCACCTACCTGATAGGGCTCAGAAACTTCTGTCTCTACGGACATCATATCAGTATTCGTAAATTGTCGTGGACATCTGAGGGAATTTGGTAGGTCGACGTCCCCACTCCAGTGCGGTACCGGTTTTTGCCTTTGTTGCTTGAACTGAAAGTTCACAGGGGTTAAATTCACCTGTCTAGTATTCCTAGTCCCTGTAAGCCTTCCTATTCGCGTAAACTCTCCACTTTGACTAACATACCTCTCCACGCATGGCAGCGGGACTCATTACGCAATGCCCTGGGTGAATCAGTTCAGCATATTCTCAACTACTGATTGCAGTGGGATGCTCGGCTAAACATGTCCCAATAACCACCACACAGCTCTCCCTCAACGGCCGCAGCAAGCCTTCTTAAAAATGGATCATGCAATACACTATTTGTCAACTCGCGGTGACTTTAGTTTGAGGCCCGGATAGCATACTTCGCCGAAAGTGACGTTTCACTGTAGCCTATGAGTGAATTTCCCGAGGTCAGCCTACCTAATTACGTAGTGCAGTAGCGCCGGATAAAACATCGCATCTGGCTTTAAAACAGACGAAAGGTGGGGTACTGCGTCCATCGTCGCTTCAAAATTATTCCACTTCTGGGGAGTGGGGTGACTCGTAACTTTCTATTCTACCACAAGGTCATCGCGTTCCGTGCTGTTGTTAGACCACCAGATGGCTTTGTTTGCCATTCTACTCCTCTTGTTTGCATTTGCTCTCCAATGTATCAATTTTTGTGCACCAAATAAGTCCGCACTCCTAATTATCTTTTATTTCGCAATGTTTTCCAACAATAATAGCTGGTGTCTGTGCGTGTGATATTTTGCTCACACACTGCCCCCCAAACCGCTCGTCCGATTATCCTTCGTGAAGCCATTATCCCTATGTATTGACTCACCCTCTTTGAATAGGTTTCATGTCTCGTTTAGTGTGTGTGTGTGGGCCTAATATGCATTTCCATTCCCACCTGCCCAGGGACCTGCAGCTGAGGGAGGACTTCAGTTACGGCATTCCACTTGTTCGACACCTCGGAGTGGCCGCCGTTGTGACAATAATTGCGGAATATCAGGCCAATATTGCGGCTAATGGGGAAAGCTCTACCTTCGTCGCCTACACACCAACCGTCCTCTATACATGCCGTCCTACCAGAGAGTTTACTCCTGAGGCAGTACACTACCTGTCCGACCAACTGAGCTGTGGTTTGCTGTCGGACTCCGTTCCTGGCACACGCTTCTTTGTTGGCCTCCTTATGGTCGTTTCTTTTCTCTACGCAGTACTGGGCAGCTACTTTGTGTGGTCACGTAAGCTTTTCTCCTCTATACTACACTTACCATTCATTTCTGCCTTCACTGCTCAAGCTTCTCTTTGTAAGTCACTCATTCCGTGTTTTAGCAGGCGTAACTTCTTGTTCCGAATTAGAAGGACTTCAGCTGCTTTTTGTTCTGCAGCACTGGAATGTGTAGAGTGCATAAGGTCAGTAACCGCATCGACTGATTGGCAGTTACATCGAATGCCTTGCCTAGACCCCATCTTTCGCCGCAGTCTACATCCAAATAACCTCTGTGCTTGCCGGCAAAATTAAATGAGGATCCATTAGAGAACTCTCCGACGCCCGTTATTGCGTGTTAAGTCTGGCTCAGTTTTTGAGTAGGAGCTAGCCCCGTCGTGTCACGCACAGACCTAAGTGGCCTACCAGGCAAATCGTTGCTCACAAGACCACCTCTAAACCTCCTGACCAAGCCTTACTATTGCAACACGATAAGTTATCGCTGCCGCGTCCTCCAATAGAGTTGGTGGTGGTTATCACCATAGCCAGCAAAGGAACTATCCGTGAATTATAGGAGGACATGCGGAGTAAAGAAACATGCGATGGCGGTTTCACAGAATAGATACGCGGTCAACCCACGGACTTTTATACAGCGTCATTTTTGAAAGCATTTCCGCTCCTTTGAGCTTCGAAAACCCACTCTAGAGACCTTTTGCACCTCCCTCAATTGGTGATGGGTGAGGTATGACTGTTCAGATATCGTAATTGCGTCGAGGCGGATTGACACGACTTCCTAGCGTACACTAAAATAATATGTGACAGGTGGATCTGGGCGCGGTAAGTCTGTCATGACGAGGGCATGACTAAACATGTAGGGCTTGTGTAGACGCATACTGTACACACTGTACACCAAAGGCTATTTGATGGAACCTTTTGACAGTCATATCCATTTTCGGTTCTCTTTTTAGGTTGTTTGCTGAGCCTTCTCATGACCTTCTCCCTCGTCTTCATGTTCTTCGGCTATAGATTTGAAATACTTCAGAGTAACGGTAAGTCCGGTCTTATTTTCAGAACCCCCTTCTGGTCAGAAATTGGTCCCCATCCGGCCTTCTAGAAGGCATGCCTTATGGGAATTGTCACATCTTTTTGACATGGTCTTCTCTGGATTATTGACTGCCGGCTCTCCCGTTCCTTCGCTCGCAAGGTAGAAAACGACCAAGGGCAGAGGCGTGTCAAACGTGCTGACGTGGGGATCTGGAAAGTTCCGTTGTCACCTTGTCGATGACTTGCATCAACTAAGTCTGTGAATGTGCGCTCAGCCGACCTGGTTATATGCTCACATAAGACGTTTGTCCGAGCCCTTTAATTTACCTGGCCCAGACTGAACACCCTCTAAATACGTGTTATAGCGGCAAGCAAGAAGCCTATTTCGCCGACACCGCTCCCCTTACACCAGATCTAGGTTATCAATTCTTCTTCATGTTTAGCATAACTGAACACCCTCAGTCCGCTCCTCTATTCGACGATTTCTGCGACTGTTGTTATAACGATGGTGGTAAAGACGGCCATGCCGCTAGTTGTGATGGTTGTTGTGGGGATGGTAATTGTGAATAGGCCTTCTTTATTTCCTACCTTCTTTCTTGGTCAGCGTCCGGTTGTGCGTTCAATTCGCCGTAACCGCCGAGTGCATGCATCAGAAGTAAATATGCAATGCCAAAGAGTAGAGCGCCGAATTTGCCTCTAGTGTGAACCGTCCAGATAGATATTAACTAAGAATCTTCTGAGATTAGAGTACGCTGAACTAAAACTTCTGAAACCGCCACTTACAGAAACAAAACTGTTCAAGTAGTCGGTATGTCCTGCACGTAGTAACTTCAAGAAAGGTTCTGTTACAATAGCAGGACACCATCAGATCTAACAGGTATAGACTTCTGTTTACCTCGAGATTCATTAGCGCTTGAATTCTAGCTCATTCATTGTCTGGACTAGTTGTCTGTTCCACAGCAGTATTGTATACGCAAAAGACTTATTCACGAGCGACTGGCCAGTGATCGTATTTCTGCACTCCAGATCTATTCAGATGCGTTTTCACGCATGAAGTTAAACACAAAGTTCCCGTTTTATTTGTATAAACTCCTGACCATTCTTTTTGGCCTAGACGGGACAAATGACTGCTTTTGCCAACATATCCATTTGTTACCATCTTTAGTAATGGGAAGAATCGCGCCACGTTAAACCTGCCGGCTGACCCGTGTTTAGAAGGGCACAAGCGTAGTCCCTGGCCAGTCGGTTTTTACCGAAATTGCCACACCCGACATTGCCTTTTTGCATCTTACCACTCTATGTTTAGTGGCCGCATGTGTCGTCTTCGGCGTCCTGATTCCCATCGCAACGAGCCTTTGCATCATGATCGTGATCTGGTTTGCCTGTGTTCGGCGATCCTACTACCCCCCACCGCCTTCCATCCCTTCGCGGCCCAACATTTTTGCGCGTCCACCTATCGCCTCCACCTCCGATATCCTGTCCGTTTCGCGTGTCAATTTCAACCTCGACGATACCGAAGAGGTCGGAAATTCACGGCCCTACCAGCATGATGCTAGTGATGACTACTACGATGCCGGAAAAGTGGGTTTTGACCGAGCTGGTGGTGGGGGTGCTGGCGTCGTGGGATCCTCCGTGAACCTCCTCTCCAATGCCACCAACACGACCATGGGCATCGGTCTTAACATGGGCTTCGACGAGATGGGAGAGTCCTCGCCTGTCTCGGTGACCGAAAATCGACGCGGCTGTCTCTCGTTTTGTTGTGGCCGTTTACGTCAGGCGAATGCATTTCGACTTCGGCGCTTCGCGCGTCTCCCACCCATCATCCCCGCCTCATTCCTCATTGCTAGTCTTATTACTGGGGCCTGTCTACGTAAGTTATCTGCTTTCTCACATGACTTCCTCCTACCTTTATCATTACTCTTCAGCTTCTCCGAGGAATCCCACTCTGCGATCGGTCGAACGAAAGTTGTTTAAACTGCTGAGCGCAAGCATACGGGCATTTTATAGGCCGAACCCCTCACAGCTGTGCCATGCAGTGACAGAATATCGACGAAACACGCGTGTCTGGGCCTCTAGCGAGTACCTGTGCTGTTATTATGGTATCCTCTAACCCTAAAATATGCTACTAACTGTCTGTCGACAGTTAATGAATATCATTTGGTCATCCCGCTGTGGCTAACGGACATCGGCCCATATATGCATACATCAAATTTCGGTCTGCGCCTATAGACTTTAGAATATACTGACCTACTCCAAGTTCGCAGTTAATTTCTGAGGAAATTAAAAAGCAACAAATCCACGACAAATCCTCAGCCACTCAAAGCCAACCACACTGCATCATTTGAAATCTCCCATCATTAATGGACGACTTTTAGTTGCATGATAACACAAAAGCGGTATTGAAAATAACATTGCTTTGGTTAGAACAACGATCTTAAACGCAAAAAATTCAAAAACTTAACATTCTATAAAGCCTGTCCTTGAAAAGAAGTAAAGGAAACACCATAAGCAAAATGTTTGCCAACTGACTTTTCAACGACCAAAATAGCATCTAAAGGGCTTCTTGGGATAATTTTCGGGGCGAATATCTTCCAAGAGCCAATGTAATATGCAGTATACAATATGCAATAATATACAGTATACAGCATTCTTGATCGTGCTTAGGGACGGCGTCTCGAGAGTTCTATGCATTTTTTCGGTTTTGCACTGTTCGAGATGCGGTCGACTACAATAAAGAGGCTTTCGCTTGATTTCGCAGATAGGGGCGCCACAAGCATAAACGTTTTTATAATGTTGCATGTAGGGAGCCCGGCCAGTCACAGATAACTTGGAGTATAGTTAGCAGATACAATCATGAAATGTCACTGAATACTGTACTGTTTTCAGTGTTCTAGATCGATTGTCCAAAATAACAGGTTCTGTCGTTTTTGTTTATCTAAACCTTCGAAGTTAAACCGTTCTCGAAAGCTTTTTGACCGAGTACCGTGTCCTCGGACGTTATTTTTTATGCCGATGACGGTTTTGGCCATGATTTTTGGCTCGCCCAAACGTGAAACCTGATCATCAGGGAAGATAAAGTTCCACACCGAGGCCCAGTGAGGAATCCGTTCTTGATCAATTTCAAAACTTGAAAAAGTATCACACTGGGAGTATTTCGTTGGTTCCTATCTCTCCAAAATAAAGTCAGGGGAAAAATGAAACCTTTTTTCCCGCCCACACACTATTTCAGACCGATATGAATAATTTTTCTGCCATAAATTAGAAAAACTGCCCATTATTTTTTTAGAAGCACTTTTGCCTTATATGCTTACTTTTAGGCTCCGTTCCACAATTATAAATATGTTACAGAGTGACCACATAAATACTGAAATATTTTCTAAACGACTAACACTGTGCCTGCTACGTATTAGCAAAAACTAGACCGCGCAAAAAACATCTTACTATATGCCCAAAAGTCCAAATGGTTGTTTAATGCCTGGCCTTTTCGCAGCCGTTTTTGAAATATTTATATGTGCCAGGAAATTAGGTGTTTGTAAAAGAACGAATTGCCCCTGGGCGTTTTTGCTTCATTTTGAACATAACATTTCCCCGAATTGCAAATCAATAATTCCTTTTTTTCGGAAATGGCCTCTTTTTCCCACCTTGTCCTACCTTATTTAATCAACCTGGAAAACCAGTTTTGGATGGTTGTTTCTTAATCTATCCTAACTTAGATTAATTTCCTTCGTTAAAGAAACATACGCGAATTGGTGGGTGTAGTCTAGAGCAGGCTCTACCACAGGAAATCACTTGATTAAGAGGTAACGTTAATTCCCACCAAAAATTTTAAACCGTAAAGCTGGTAAAATGTCTTGAAAACATGTTTTCTCTGGGGAAAATGAATCCCGCCAGAACTTGAGCTAGTGCGTAAAATGTGCAACGCTCGTGACACCTGGATCTGATTATGTGGATCTCGGTCATTCTGTTTTTCGGAGTCGCATCGCCGACTGTACAGAATCAAGACGTCAACGTACTCGGCGCGCTCCTTTATGCCAGTAATTAGATAATCTTTCCGGAAGAGATCGTTGGAGATAAGCGACAGCCTTAGCACACGCCTGACGCATCACCCAGATCTATGAACCCTGCGCGCACTTGTTCCCGGTCTCCGTAGGCGTTGTCGGTGAGACCTCTCGAGTTCCGCTCAGACAAGTAATTAGTACCAGCCAGCACTAGCAATGTTTATTGTTAGTCTGTGACCGTATGACCGGAGTATCAGACCAGTTAAAATCTGTGCAGTATAGACTAACCGAGGAATTTGAGTGTCGGCGACTATGGCTGTGGAACGCACGTTCCTTCCTTTTACTTATTGTTGTCTCTACTTTTTTGTTTTACTGTAACTGCGTGTTTAGTTACCTCACGAAGGTCCCCTTTTTCTTCTCTTCCAGCCTCCTTCCAGTTTCTTCGCATTCCTGAAGCGCATCTCAGTGTTTTCGTCCTCCTTGTGTTGGTGTTACTTATTTTGCTGACTATCTACAAGAACTTTGTGAGTCTTCGCCGTTTCTACTATTTGTGTGGAGTTCGTTTTCTCGCTAGCGGCTTACAATGAAAAACTTGTTATTTTATGCTAAAAAATTAAGGTAGGCGAAATCAGAGCCTCGAGGTAACTGAAGTTACCTGAAGTATTCTTACACATGTTCAAATTATCCACCCATGGCTGACGAATGCTCTACGTCTTCTAAATGTTGTTCTCTTACTTAAACGCATCGCTGGAAGTAAAGGCTTAAAAAATAAAAGTTTTAGACAGGTCTCCCTTTTTGACTTGTGATTGGTCTGGAGGTTGCAGCGAAGCGTTGCACAAGCCGGTTTCACGTCCGCATGCCGATTGGTTAAAATAGGATCAGGTTGCCAGTATTCACTTATTTCTCCGACTTATAAATTTTTTCATCTTTGCCTATTTTTGTGCATATCCGAAGGTAAACTGGTGATCGTCCACCGGGCTGCGCATAGCGACATGTCAACGCACATCATTTCGCCTCATTTCGAGGCCATGTTTATACATTTATGTCACCACACGTTGGTCAGCCTCGCTGCAATAACCATCTGATCAGTATGACAACACAGTAGACTGTCTTTACCAAGTTTGCTGTTGACAACCGATCTTTTAGCTGCGTGAGTAAATAGTCATATGTTCTCCGCTATGCTGACGGACGCCTACTGTGATGAACGTCCTGGGATACACATAGCCTATAGAACTGGCGGGCATCTTCTAAACAGCAGACTCATAATGGCCCAAACGCGGCCATCCACGATCACGGTCCTTGATCTGCTCTTTACCGACGACTGCGCACTCAACACTATGGCCGAAGAATACATGCGACGTGGCCATTGATCTCTTCGCCTCCCCCCCCCCCCGCTGCGCTCACATCGGACTGACCATAAATATGGGTAACTCGATAGTCATACACCAACCGCCACCGAACACTGAATATAACTCCCCTCGAATCGCTGTCAACGGCAACCAACTCTAGACCGTGGACAAATTCGCCTATCTAGGAAGCACACTCGCGCGGCACAAGCATCGACGACGAGGTTGCCTGTCGGCTCTCCAAATCCAGCCTGACCTTCGGCTGGCTGCAAGCCTACTGTGTGGAATCGTCACGGCCTTCAACTGAAGATGTAGAGGACCGTCGTCTTGGCGACACTTCTGTACAGAGCGGTGACCGTCTGCTTCAACCATGCCAAGAAACTCAACCACTTCCATCTCAGCAGCCTTCGCAGAATACAGAGGTTGAGATGGCAGGACAGGATCCCGGACAGGGAAGTCCTGGAACGGGCCGGAATCTTTAGTATCCACGCCATACTGAGACAACACAATTGCAATAGAGCGGTAACCTGGTGATAATGAACGACGCCGGTCTAATAAAACAGCTCTTCTACGGGGATGTCGTCACGGATGCTCGCTGACCGGGAGGATCAAAAAGACGCAACAAGGACATACTGAAGAACACTTTTAAGCGATCGCATATCATTTCAGAGGCCTGGTAGGACCTGGTCCGGAACGGGCAGGTCTGCAAAAGAGAAGTGAAGACTGGCGCAGCCATCTACGGGGACCGGTGTCCAAAACTAGCGTTGCACGACCTTAGAAAACGCTAAAAGTATTCTTAGCGTGGAGTAACTCGCAGAGGACTTTCCGACAAGCCAATCTTTTGGTCTTTGGGGCCCGTTTTCTGGAGGGTCTGGGCTGATTCTGAGACCACTGAGGCAGATCATCAGTTGTCCTCTGGTTCATTGTTTTGTCCATCTTTGCGAGCACCTGCATCCACGCCGCCGAAAAACCGCTGTTTTGGGGGACGCCCTTTGCTCGTCTTCACGACATGGCTGCACCATCAACCTTGAGTTTCCTTGCAGAAATGCCGAACTTTCAGGTCAGTTCGGGGATCTGGGTTGCGTGGATCGGTTTCGCCGATAACGCACAGACCAACTCAGTGTGTTTCATCGAGTGAATAAAAAACTGGAGGAACTGTAGGGAGTCGAACAAATTACCATTCTGCCCGCTGATAAAAGACGATTAACGGGGAGACTACAATGAAGAAATTAGGGCTCTACTTGGTGACAAAGAATTCTGCAGATCAGCACAGAATTCACAAGTCATAGCACGGCAGGTCTTTTGAATAAATTACTTAGAGAGCTCAGGGACAAAAGTGTAGTGACGGAGAATGGATGGCGACATATGAAGCCGACGGACATTTCTCTGGCCCGATTCCATGGCTTGCCAGAGATCCGCAAACCAAACGTTCCACTGCGGCCAATCGTTGCCCTAAAAGACGGCGCCACCCATAATTTGACGAATAAGATGCGTTCAAACTAAAGTTTCTCCGGGGCGATCCAAGTACCTAAGTTCGTTCAGCCTCTTCGTGGTCGGATGATTCAATCGGACGAAATCATGGCCACTTTCGACGTGAAGTCGTTATTCCCAACTACCCTACTAGACTTGGCTTATGGAATCTTGCCTAAGAAACTGAAGGAGGTATACGACGAAACTCGGAGCCCGCTCCAAATCGAGCTTCTCACGAGGCTTTTCAAATATTACTAGAAAGCGCGCTTCCCCTTTGCGGGAGAAACCTATGCTCACATCAAGGGAACGCCAATGGGCTCCCAATTTCAGATTAAGTGGCAGTATTGGTCCTAAAAGAGCTAGAGAAGACCGCCTCAATCCAGCGAGAGCCGATATTTGGCGCTGTTACGTGAACGGTACGTTTGTTATCGTTGGGTAAAACATGGTGCAAAGTTTCCGTTATCCGCTTAACTCAATATATCCCGGCATGGACGGTATGGTATTACCGACAACGGCAAGACAGACTGGTATACAATTCACCAGGGAGGAGGAAAAAGAGAGCCAACTGCCCTTGATGTGTTCGTCTGGCGAAGCCCCGATGGCGAAATAGAAACAAGGGTTTACAGGAGGGTAGCGAATACCTTGCAGTTTCTGTTTTCATAGCAATCATCCGGTGACCCACAAACAAAGCCTCGAGAGCCCTCTTCAAACAAATACAGGTTTACTGCAGCAACCCGAAAGAAGATGCACGCGAGGCCCGATACCTCCGCAAAAAATTATACGGAATGGCTATTCGAAGGCGTTTGTTCGCCCCAGAACGGCACGGGAACACCACCGATGGTATCATATGCTCCGCCATTCCCAAATGACGTTTCAGAGGCGACCGGGCGCATTTCTGGAGGACTAGGTGTTGGAGTTTTCTACCGGCCCAAAACTTTCGTACGCAGCAAGACCGTGAGAATTAAAGACCGATTAAATGCGGGGGAACAGTCCGATGTAATGTATCGTATCCCATGCTTAGACTGCCTTAGTAATTACACAGGTCAGACTGAACGCATGCTCAGACCGCACATACACGAACATAAGCTGGCTGTGTGACAAGGCGACAAATTATCGCAGGTGGTCGCCCATACCTTCGAAACAGGTCACGAGTTTAATTTCACAGCCACTGTGATCATCGCCCACGCCGGAAACAAGACAAGTTGAAAATTAATTGAAGCACGGGCGCCGGGTGAGGGCTTAGTCACTCGATGCATTGATTTGACGCCGGCATACAGGGTTCTGCGCAGCCACCTCTACCCCTACGTCACTTACTGTTGATTGAAAAACACTCACTACAACTGTCGCGTGTTCTATTGCAGTTTTTAGCTCTAATGATGGACTCCTTCAGGTGATCGAAAGCCCAGACTAACAAGCAAATTGTTCCGGTGCTCGACCGGTCATGTTCTTCCTTACTCAGAGGCGGAACTAATTGAACCTCCTATATTGGCTTCGACTCACTGTCCAGGTTTCTCAGCCTCGCCAGAACGACAGCTTGTGTATCATCTCTGTGTTGAGGCGAATACCGCCAAAATTCCAGCATATTGACTATTACTTCTCAGAGATCTGCTTAGTTGGTTGTGTGGACCTGGTGTCAGAGACATCTTAGTCATCCTCTTCCCATTCTTATCCAGCTCCCTACATTGCCTTCTTAGGCTTTTGGACTGTCTGTGGGGGTGACGGGCCTCTACATTGCCCTCTCCTGCTTTGGAATGCTCTTCTTTCCAAATGCCCTCCTGCCCTATGTCCTCATTGACCAGTTCCTCATTCTGGCCTGGCCCAGCGCTCGTCTGCAAACGCGTCACGTTTCGGCCCACGGACGGAATGGTACGATCCCCACTTTCTTGTCTCGAGTGTGTTTTGTCTAGCCCTCGGTTTTTCTGTATTTCCGACTTCCTACTACTTCGTGGTCGTAGTCACTTTCCTGAGCTGAAAGAAGAGATCTCCAAGAGATCGGTTGACGTTAAGGAAAACTGGGTTTAGTGTCCACTTTCAAAGTCTGCACCGCTTAACCCCGTTAAGCAAGATTTTAAGTCGATTTCTCAGTCAGTTGGTCATGCCTTAATCAGCTTTTTCCTGCCTTTGCTTCTGTAATTGTTCGTCATGATTTCCACGCGGTAGATGCACTGAAGTAACATGGGGGGGGGGCAGATTAGGACATCACACGTGTTACTCGTGGTGACACTCGTGGCGCCGACTCACGCCGCACTGACTGCTTGCGCCCGATCCACCTATCAGATCGCTGGACTGCCGGTCCGAGCACTGAAATGGTGTCTGGGAAGGGGAAGAGAATGAGGTCGACTCTGGGGACTGTCCCCACGGCACTCAGCTCATATCCCCAACTACAATGAACCTGACGCTCTTGAATCTATCGCGACGCGCACTACGCGTGGATTGGAAGGCTGTCAATTGACGGGATAACTCGGTCCTTCTCTCAGGACGATGAATCAGGTTGTAGTAACTCCTTCTGAATGTGGCCTTCGGGGCACTCGCACTCAGTCGGGAGCCGAGCCTTCCCCGTTTCTTTGGGAGCGTGGTCCGTCGTGCGCGAGTCAGGCTTGTGGCACGCGTAGATGGGCTGTTTGGCCTTGTCAGCCACTGCGTCCAATGTCGTCCCCAGTTTTATTGACTCCACAGTGAGTGACCGATCTTATGAAATGTTGGCCAAAATTCTGAAATGCGTTTTCGACTAGGAAGGATTACTTAATCGCGGTTGTAATACTGATTATCTTGCGACAAAATCCTATAATATTTCGGACTCGGCAGGATGTCAGCTTTTGAATACACCTCTTTTCCATCTCTCGTAGAAACCGTACAAGGTAAAAAATGGCTACAGATGTAGCATGCATTTTTCCTGTTGCTTTTCGATGGCCTTGCAAATCCAAATATTTCTTATAGAAACCATAAACAAAAATATGCTTTCTTTCAGTCTTTTGATAGAGAATCACGTCTTCTTTATATTTTATACTCGAAGAAGGAGTAGGATTAGGTTTTAAGACAGTTTTCTAATTCCCGAATAATTTGGAGCCTGGTCAATCGTTACGCTAGCGCTTAGTGGTTTCACTATACAAGGCGCATGCGTTCCGCGTCAAAAAATCACATACTTCTCTATCCCTTTAAAAAGATAACATACAGGGTCCATGAAATTTTGCAATGGATGCGGACAATGTTGTACATTTCATGAGGAGCTGTGGTAAACGGCCAGGTACGATGCTATTTGAATGGACACTGCGCGCTCTTAAAACATATCATAATTAGAAATTTTTTAAAACCTAATTATACTCCTTCATCGGGTATAAAATATAAAGAAGGCACAATTTGCTATCGAACTCTGAAAGAAAGCCCATTTTTGCCAATGGTTTCTGTAAGATATATTTGAATTTTCAAGATCATCGAAAACCAACGGGAAAAATGCATGCTATATACGTAGTCATTTTTTACCTTGTACGGTTTCTACGGGAGATTGAAAAGCAGCGTATTCAAGTGCTGACCTCCTGCCGAGTCCGAAATATTATAGGATTATGCCGCAAGACAGTCAGTATAGTAATCGCGCCTAAGTAATCGAAAACGCATTTTAGAATTTCAGCCAACATTTCATGAGATCGGTCACTCACTGTACATTGACACCAGGCTGAGGAGAATGAGGGAGGAGAGAATGAAACAGATTCCGCGCAAGTCTGCCACCACTGTAAACTTATTCACGCGCATTTCACACGTGATCGGGTCCGCGGGGGATATCGACGTTCGCGGCGATCGAACTCTCGGTACGGTGTGTGATGGTGACTTTCTTGCGTGTGTGGTCACTTGTTCCATCATCATTTCTTGTGTGTGGTCACTTGTCCCATCATCATTTCTTGTGTGTGGTAAATTGTCCCATCATCATTTCTTGTGGTCACTTGTCCCACCAGAAGAGGGTGATCGAACCTGTGGGTAGCTGTCCTGCCAGATTTTGAGAACTAAAGCCTTACGCAGCTATTCGGAGCGCCAGCCAAAGGCATTTGCACACATTGCCTGACGGCGTTTTCTGCGTCATTTGACTTACTACAAATTGGTTGTTCCCAGCCTATTCATCACTTGTATTTAACTTTAAATTAGCCGCTTTCCAATCGGGCAGTCCCTGATTGGACTGAATAATTTGACTGGGAAAACGTTGCTGCCTAGATATACTGGACCGTTCTCTGAGGATTATGCGTCCTCACAAGAGGAAGTCTCCACCTTCGAAATAGGTAGACCAGAAATTGCGCCAGGACATTAAAGTTGACGATAGGGCAGAGCTCTTTTGAATTGATTTTGAGACCGTTTTCGAGGTGTTCCACAATTTTCGAGTGAATCCTCTACTACCAAATCTTGCTGAAGAATGCCCAATGCATGTGCATCTGCTTTTCTTTCATGTTGTCGGGTAATAATTCCAATAGTGAATCGATCTTCGGCTGAACACGAACAATATTCGTATGTTTTGCCCTCTTACAGTGCGTGACCGATTTCATGAAACATTGGCCGAAATTCTGAAATGCATTTTCGATTAGAAAGGATTACCTAGGTGGCGTTGTAATGTTGCCTATCAAACAACAAAATCCCATAGAAGTTCATACTCGACAGGATGTCGGCTTTGGGATGCGCTCCTTTTCGACCTCCCATAAAAGCCATACTTGGTAAAAGATGACTACTTAAGTAGCATGCATTTTGCACATTTATTTTCGATGGTCATATAAATTCAGATATTTCTTATGGAAAGCATGCACAAAAATATGTTTCCTTTTACTTGTTTGGTAGAAAGTTACATTGTCTTTACATTTTATATCCGATGAAAACGTATATTCAGACTCTGAAAAAGTTTCCCAATTCCCCAATGGTTTTGGCCCAGATCAGCCGTTGCATTACAATTTAACAATTCCAGTCTACAAGCCGCATACTTTCCGCACAAGAAAAATCATATATTAGTCTATGCCTTTAATGGAATGCCTATTAATGGAATTTTTAAGTAACTGGATGTAATTGTCGAAGCTAAGAGAGCTCTCTTACTTTTCTGGCAGACATGATCTTCCTGGTGGTCTGGCTCCTGGGCAGTCTACTCGTCGGCCTCATCACCATGTGCATGCTGCGCTTCCAAGATTCACGGGAGCACGCACGCGGCACCACCGCAAACGTCACCGCGGCTGCCTCGAATCAGACACGTCTCGCCTTTGCCTCAGCTCATCCCCCGGTACCGACCGCGGCATCTCGTCACACCGGTGTGCCGTTTCTTCAACGTCTGCATCTGAGGCGGGGCCGTGCGCGGTCGCCGGACCTGCTGCCCCTGCCGGAACCCGATCACGAGGTTGACGCTTTCGCTGTTACCACTCATCTGGAGCATTCCCTGCTCACCACCGCTGGTACTGCCTGGCCGCCACAGCCCTTTGAAAGATCCTATCAGCCGGCGGCCAACGAACGCAGAGGGCTACTTCCTCCTCCACGGTATGAAGTGAATTATTGTGGGGTTTTTGATTGTCTGATAAGCGATTGCTTTGCCAATCACCCGGAAACAGTGCGATCCCTTTCCTGTTGATGTCGTAGTACGCTGCTGTTGGCGGCCTTGAATTCTCTTGGTTGACGCATTTATTTACAAGCTTCTATTCCAATGCATGTGTTGACTGTATTCGAACATAAATGCAAGTAAGTGACTGAGGAAGCCCGGGAAGAGTGACCAGCCTGGTGGATAGGCAGTAGTGCCAAATGCCCTGTTACGCATGGTGGTCATACTTCTCCGCTTCAACCTCATGTCTCACCCTTTGTGGCTCTAGGAGTCTGCACTCTGTTTACCTCTTCGACTGGCCAACGAAATTAATTAGAGATAGCCGTGAATTTGTGCGCGAAGCCCGGTTCAGTTTTGAAAAGAAAGAACCTTGTCGTGGCACACGTAATCGGAAACCTCTTGACGGGTCACTTGCTGCATCCGCTCTCATTACCAGTCGCACTTACGCATTTTTACCACTGATTCGCAAGGGATATGAGGCCTTCTACACTGCAGTCCATTTCGCCCTCAAGTCACCACCAACATCGACTCTACGGCCAACCTCTACGTCCCTGTCTGAATTGTGAGTGCACTTCCCCGACCCGAGTCGCCGGAAGTGGACTCCTCTATGCCCACCTTTACATGAACAAATCAACCTGTTACTGCTCAACTCACTTCGACACCTGAAGCTCCGCCACACCAGCTCGCTGAGACCGACCGCAAGAGCGGATTTGCGGCGTCTCCGGCTCTGACGGAAAGCAGGAGGAATGGAACGCTCGATGTAATAGTTAGGACACATATGTAGGCGCGCGTTGCCTTCAGTTATCACTTTTCTCACGGTAAGCGCTGACGGACTATCGATTTCGGTCAGTCACACGCGCCGAACTCTAACACCGGATGGTTGACATGCTCGGATAGTCAACTAGTGGACAGATGAGGGAAGAGAGTGAAGTCGACGCTGAGAACTCCGTTGCCATGACACTTCAAGAAATTCCTTAAGATGACCAATCTAACAGGCTTCGGAACACTCATGACGCGCCAAAAGTTGGAAAGCCGCCTACGGACGGGGTAACTCCTTTTCCCTTAGGACAGAGCATCAGGCTGTAATGACTCATTTTTAATGTGCCCTATGTAGAACTCTGATTCTTATTGATCCGAGACGTCCCCCTGTTTCTGCGAAGACCCGGTCGCTTGTCTACGGACCAGGTCGTTCGTGGCACGCGTAGACGGATTGCTTAACTTTGTCAGTCACCGCGGCCCATCCTGTCTCCGGTCGCACTGACTTTGTCATGTCAAGAGGACGGGGAAGGGGGGGGGCGAGTGCGACAGATGCCGCGGAAGTCTCCAATCACTACAAACTAATTCACGCGCAAGACACCGTCCTGCGCCCACCCTGTCATAAGGCACACGGTGGTCATCGCCATTCGCGACGTCGACCTGACATCTGTGAGGGCCTTCTTCACGCCGAATTTGGCTGATTCCATGTCACGGGATCGCCACATTTCGAATGACCACCTATAGTCGACCTGCGAAAGAATCTCTAGCTAGGTTGACAAACTTAGCAGTTACCATCCGAAGACCGCAGAACCAGAAGCGTGCTCGAGGTCAGGTTCCACCAACTCTATCCTACATGTTCAATTGACCAATCCGATGCTCTTTTCACCCGAGTTCGAGCGAGTTGACGTTCTGGACAATTCTGCTTTCGGCTCGACTCACCACATGGCTGACCGTGTCATCCAGCCGGTGGAGTGGACGTAGTTGACGTTTTATAGTTCGAGCCGACTGGATAGATGTTAGGTGGAGGCATGGTGGAGAACAAGATTCTGAGAATGAATTGCTAGTGTCTCCGATCGGATACTTCCAGGCGATGGATGTCATTTTGACCAGGACCATGTCTCATTCGTATAGATGAGTTTTTATGGCTTAAACCTCATATATCCACAGCTCTTTTCAACCTGATTTCACACCGATTTAAGAGGTTTCTAGGAAGTCTGATTCATGCTGCGCGTCCACCCGTTTGTTTTGACGACGGTTTTCATCTTCTCGTCTGTTTCACAGAAATTGCGGCCGAAGGTTGCGGATGTGTTCTTTAACTCCCTACGAGAAACCCGAGGCAGTAATCTTCGTCTGGAAGTACTTCATTTTCAGACCCCCTTCGGGTGCCTTTTCGCGTATCTGGTACGAAGCGCGATGCATTTCTATAGCGGAACCCATCACCACCGTAACCTCAGCCCATAATGCACGAACCATGACGTGCTATAAGGCCAAGATGGTCTGCCTGTGATTGCCCGAAAACACAGTCTATTACGTAGTTGCGCACATTTGGTGGAAAAAGAACGTCAGTTATGACGTCCAAATAATCACTCTCCCTGTCATTCACATAGCCTTTGAACCTTATGGACTGCAGTTGATCTTCCTGGTTTCTGCGCCAGACCATCGTACAGCATAGATGATAGCGGCAAATCCCTGTGGGCGGAGTATAATGCGAAAGAGACATCTGCGAAACATGCAAGGCAACAATAAAGTTGCCTGACAAAACATTCAATCACCAGGCCCCTCACGATCGGCAATAGGTTGGTTATTGGCAGAATTGCGTTACCGACAAGGACAAAGTGGACTGGAATGGTCATTTCTGGCTTATTAGCCGTCGTCATCCAGTCATGCCCCAACCTCGAAGTGTGGAACACCCGAGGCTCTAACTCGCGACCTGTTAGAAGTCCACGCCTCTAACCACTGGGCCACGAGTCCGTTGCCCTGTCGGTTTTCGATCGGGAATATACAATGGCAGGGGGCGCTCACCAGTCGTTCATACGGAACTCACTCGTTCCGTTGTGCCTTAGGAGCCCAGCCAGCAGCCGCAAAGCGGCGCATGATATAGGCAGAATGACATTACCGACAAAGACAAGGGAGACTGGAATGGTTATTGCAAGCCACGAATTCTGCCGCATGCCTCATGGAGTGGGTTCAACACCGCTGACCTGCGCAGTTTCTGCCGCACCCTCCTTCACTCGCCTCTGATGGCAAAACAGTGTTAAAACCACCCGAGGCGGACTCGGAAACAGTGGCTGAGAAAGACAAACGGCCCATCTACACGCACTACACACGACATGGTCCCTATTTCAACTACCAGGTCACTCTGAGGGCGGCATAAACGTCACGTTAAGACGGAGCCATTGCAGCCCGGCCTTCGGCCCTCGAATCACTCCAAAATGCTCTCTTGACCGGATATCCCGTCGGTTGACAAACTCCCAAACTGTGACTCTTGGCGCATCGTAATAGATTCACTCGCGTCAGACTTATCATAGTGGGAATTGCTCTGACTAGCCGTAGGAATGGATTTCCCAGCGTCAGCCCCACACTCTCCCTCCCCCTTTCGTGAAACAGTCGACTGTCTGAGACTGTCAGCCAGCTGCTTTTGGTGCGGTAGCTGGCTCGGGTTGGGGCCTGCGTACAGGTGTGCCACCATACAGCAATAGTTATGGGCTCCTTGTCTAAGGATCCTCCTAAAGATCTCCTCTGCGTGTCGTCAGCATCTAGTTACGTTGGCAACAGCAGCACAAATATGCACAAGTACAATTTTTCTATGAATTCGTTTCGCAGCCCACAAAGGAGACTTTTGATGGCCCACTCATAATGATTGTCGGCCTAAGCTGCCAGTGACTCTATCGTAATGAAGGTGGAATCATTTAACCGTCCCTGATTATGATCTGGCAAGCGCGCTCCTGAGAAATAACCAACATCCACATTGTTCTCGCGTATGGTTAATGTCTGTGGTGCCGCTGCGAGGTGAATTCTCGCACTCCAGATTGCTGCGATGCAGGATTTTCCTTGCATGTTTTCTCATGCGGCCAACAGTCAAGCGTGCGGATGCATCAGTACTCGCGGAGTCCGCGTTCGCATGATTTTTAGAGACTTGGCACAGGCTAGTTGCCTTCATTTCTCAATTCGGCCCCTGAGTAGAGGTCTGGCCGTCAAAGTGGCGGTCGCGGGAAGAACCTTTTTGGCAGATAGCTTACAGTAGGTGGGCTAACTCATGAAACGTCAACCGAAATTTCGAAATGCGTTCTCGTTTCGAAAAGATTAGTTAAGTAGGGTTGTAAAACTGACCATCCTGCAGCATAATTCTATAATGACCCAGTTACCTTGTGGGTGTCGGCTTTCGAAAGAACTTATTTTCGGCTGCATGCAATAACTACACACTGCAACAATGACTAGTTATGTAGCAGGAAATTTTCTCATTGATTTTCGATGCTCTTGAAAATTCAATTGTATTTCATGGAAAACATGCATAAAAATATTCATTATTTTACTTATTCTGTAGGAAATCACGTCTTCTTCCAATTTTACACTCGAAAGAAGGCTATCATTCGGTTTTAAAAAGTTTCTTATAGTGAGATTTTTTAATACCGTGAAATGACCGTTCATGTACCGTAGAGAAATACATGATTTTCCGTAAACGGAAAATATACGGATTGTAGTCTTGAAACCCTGAATGCAAGTTTAACAGTAGGTCGGGTTGAAAATTATTCGGGAATTAGAAAAGTTTTTTAACACCGAATGATACCCTTCTTTCGAGTATAAAATTGGAAGAAGACGTGATTTTCTACCGAATAAGTAAAATAATTAATATTTTTATGCATGTTTTCCACGAAATGTAATTGAATTTTCAAGAGCATCGAAAATCAATGAGAAAATTGCATACTACTTAAGTAGTCATTTTTTGCAGAGTATAGATCTTGCATGCAGCCAAAAATAAGTTCTTTCGAAAGCCGGCACCCTGAGGTAACTGGGTCATTATAGAAATATGCTGCATGATGGTTAGTTTTACAGCCCCACTTAATTAATCTTTTCGAAACGAGAACGCATTTCGAAATTTCGGTTGACATTTCATGAATTAGCCCACCCACTGTACGTCTGCCACGTCGCGCTTTCGTCGTCCGATTCTGCAGCATGTCCGTGCTACTTGGTTGTCATACCTCAATCCTCCGCATCATAACGCTGCCTCCATAGCCAACCTCGACTTATCGCCATTTCACTGCCGACCAACCGTAGGCTTGGCAGGTTAACCGGCAGCCAGGCACGCTCCGTCTGCCAGGAGCTTCATCTGCGCGTAGCCAGTAAAATCATATTTACCCGTCTTGTTTGGACCCATCCAAGCATCGGTTTAGACCGTGATAAACTGTGATAGGACCGGCATCTGCGAAGGCGCGATTCTGATGGTTCCTTGTGCCAGAGATCAGAGCCTTCCAACTTTCCTACCGGAGGGGATGCAAATTTTTTGTGACGTTTCAACCACGTCTGTCTGTTATATTTATGAGCTCTTAACCGCCCTAAAGACACGTCCACTTGTTTTTTTTTATCGAGAACACGTCTTAATCTCGTAAGCTGGTCTTAGACACTTTTATTCTTTATTTCCAGTCAACGTGCATTTCAAGGCTACGGCGGTCTGACTGACAACACGTCCCCGCTGGCCCCAATGAGCCGTGTTCAAATCGCCGCTGCTGCTTCCTCGAACCTCTCCCCTCTGCCTCAGTTGAATCCATTTGCCAGACATGCCAATGACATGGAAGAGCATGCAGACTCCGGTGCGCCCTCTCATTGTACTTCGCCGATAGGCCGCGTCGTTTCGAGACCACTTCTGGAAATACCACCGCCTGCTTACTCAGATATCCGAAATGATTAGACCCACGGGAATATATATATATATATCCTCGTATATGTATATATGGGATAAATCTCCGTTCCGGAGTCGTAGTGGATGGGCCACAACCAACTTACCCTCCTAGAACCAGGTGTACATCTCGCTGGTTCCAAATTCACCCTTACTGACTAGATTTCAGGTGGGATCTCCTTCCCCGTGCAGTTTCTGTGGCTTACTTTAGCAAGATTCTGTCTTCCGACTTTCGCTGCCTGCATTTTCACCCTAAAATCTTCGTTAACTATATGATGTCTTTGTGTGACCCTGATTTTGTGTTAATTCGTCTACCTATTTCCTATTTAACATTACCCTCACGCGGTACTTCCCTTCCACTCATCCATATCTATTTTTTTACTGATTAACTTTTTCTGCCAGTGGTGGTGTTGATTAAATCCTAACGCCCCCACGGTCAACCAGCAAGTGGAAAAATGGCGAAAACTGTGATTCTCATTTTTTGTCATACACAACGCTAAAAAAATCACCTTTGACAGATGTTTGACTTTGCCATCGGACGTTTCGTACATGGGGGTCTGCCGTCCACTGTCATTGATTGGAAGGCACACAGCATTTCTCAGGTTTCTCCTGGGAATTCGAGAATGTGAAACCATGCTTCTTGTCCTACGTTGCTGCTGCCTCGTCCGGCACTTTTAATGCCTAAATGTCTTGTGGCGCGGGCTGGCCGCCTGATGTGTCTACGGGACAGCTGAGTTTATGATTTCAACCAGTGGTTGAGTTTAGTCATGTCGACTGTTTCGTCGGAAGCTTGTCATGGTCTGATTACGTTAACAGTGTCAAGTAGAACCTGAAGATGTTCATGGGAATTGGTCGGGACAGTTGTCACCTTTGGAGTAGATTTACTGACACCCAGTCAACCACAGATTGGTGGGAATACAGCCGCAAACCTGTCGACTTGCTTACTGGCATCACGGTTTTATCGACTTCTGGAAATCTTCCACCGGTGGCACACATAACCCGTATGGCAATTAAATTATCTTTCTATAATAACACAGGAAACTGTTCAGCTTTTACGATTTACTCGCATGCGCCGTGATCGGTTGCCTTGTCGTTTTCAGGTCTTGATTCCACTGCTGTGATTTAGCCAGCTTAAAAGTCTGGATTAAGTCCAGACCTTGGGGCTACTGTAAGCTATCATAAATTTACGTCTGAATCTCCGCTAATAACTCCAAGTGATAATCAGCAAGTATATATGTTTTTGGCAGATTTTGAATTACTCATATTGACCCAACCGTGAAAAACTCGGCACCTCGGTGGATTCGAACCCACGACAGCGAGAGGAAGCCTCTAGTACAGACAACGCTCCAGCTTACTGTATCAGTTTTGGTGGATTCCAGAAGCTGCAGTAGGTGAGACGGGTAACTTGACCCAAATGTGATCAAACTCACGTCTTCCGGTGGGGCCTCGTAGCTCAGGTGGCTAGAGCGCCGACTGTACTAAAGCCATTCTCTTGCTGTCGTAGGTTCGAGGCCAACCGAGGCGCCAAGTTTTTCACATTTTGGTCAGTATGAGTCAGAAATTTCTTCCTTCCAGAGTATGTGCGGGTGCGTATTGGATCTACCGTGATCGCCACAACCAGTATCAGTTAGGAGCAGGAGAGGAGAAATATCGACGGGAGGGACATCATTATGTGCAGGATGGCCATAACGTCATCTAATCAGACAGCCGGCCCATATATGAATGAATGAGAACTTTGCAGTGCTGGGAAAATCTATTTGTTCGATTAGCTGATACGCGGACGTCTGCGAGATTCCGGTCTCGTTGTATTTGCCCTAGGTGGCGACTGGATGGGGTAATGAAGTCCCCTGTCGGAGTCGGAAAGTTAACGAATGAATGCAACCCGCATCAACGAAGGACCAGCGAAATCTAGTCCGGTGATTCGGCGAGCAAGCAAGACGTTTGGAGTTCTGGGTGGAACACTGATACCGGGCACAGTCTTGAGCTGTTCGACTATAATTTGGAATGTAATCATTGAAAGCTTGTCGTCGGTGATGTTAGTTTGGATGTTGCGAAGCCACTAACACTGTGCCAGTTAATTTGCTCCATCATGTATCTGAGCATTCGTCCTATATAGTGTTTTGTACCGTCTCAAAGGTCTAACTGCTTTCTCAATCTTGATTGGGTAACATTTCTTCATTCCCGCATCTGTCGAGGTGGCTGAATGCAATTATCTGCCTCCCAGATTCGCACCTTGCATCGTACCACCATAAAGCATGAAATACTTATTCCCTTCTTCCTGATCACCACGCCAATGTCCACTTTTCACACATAAAAACTCCTGGCATCTCCGACGGAACAGTTGCCATCGTCGTAACATAAGTGCTTCATTCACTAGTGGCGTGCAGATAGACCTTGCTCTTCCTGGATCGACGTGAAAAGAGCTCTTCCTGCCCGCCGCCTTTTCTAATCAAGTGCACTTTCCGTACTAAGCGCAGCATTTCTCATCCGACGAGGCCTCTGCGAATAGCTAATTCCCCCACTGCAGTAGATAAGCCACGTCTAGATGCCGTTCTATATAAGGTAATTTGTCCACAAACCGCATCGTCAACACAAGTGATGACTCAGAGGTCGCTGTTTCTCGGTCAGACAGTTCAGTATTGGTCAGAAAACTGTTTATATCGTCTAAAAAGCATATGTCACCAACATTTTGCACACCGATTTTGGTTACATCGTATAGCTTTTAGTTCATGTTTGCGATAATCCAGATTTTTAAGGTTTCCGATTACACAATCGGCGAGGCACAAGGAATAGCATACCCTACAGCATAGTTTACAGTTTACTGCCTGGTCAAACGCTCGAAGTGGTCGATTCATTGTTTTTTATTCACCAACAGTAAAAGTAGGCAGCAAAATATATGCATGAAAGAAAAAAAAGTTGTCCTTTATGCCTACAAAGAGGGTTTTGGAACTCTCCACCTTACCTGCTAATTTTACTGTTAGCGGGCGAGTGAAAAGATTCATTTTGACCCGACTGTCGAAACTCGGCACCTCGGTGTGATTTGAACTCACGACAGCAAGGGATGGCTTTAGTAGAGTTTCATTTTTAGTTTATTTGTGGGAAACATAGGTGTTGAACGTTTGAGCCCCTCATTTATTACAAGGAAACGATTTATAGCAAAAAATTTGACAATTGAAACATCAAACAGCTACAGAAGTTTTTATTCAAATTGGCAAAGTTTTCGAAACCAGGCAGATAAACGAATTGTTCCAAGTGTTAAAAACATTAACATTACCAAATTTGCTGCACAGTAGTCTGTCTATGGATAATTGGTGCCTGCAAGTGCTCTTCGTCAAATTTAATTCGGATAACGCTCCAAAGTTTAACATCATCAGCGAACGTGGCGACATCACAATTCAATTCACTGACGCAGTCGTTCATGTATATAATGAATCGGGTAGGACCAAGGACGGAGCCTTGAGGAACAGTGCTTTCAAACGCAACCTTCGCCGACTGCCTGTCACTGACGTGGACGATTTGAGAGCGACCGATCAAGAAGCTTTGGATCCACCTCAGGAGATTACCCCTAATGCCTTTTCGGCTTAAGTTGTACAGGAGACGCTGATGTGCTACACTGTCGAATGCTTTCCTACAGTCGACGCAGGCTGCGTGCCCTGCATTGCCGCCATCGACTACCCGGGTCCAGCGATTTAAACCATAAAGTAGATTTGTCACGCATGATCTGCCTCTACGAAATCCATGTTGGGCATCGCATAGTAGATTATGTTCTTCTGGGAAACACATTATTTCTCGCTCAATTATTTTTTCCATAATTTTGCAGCAAATTGAAGCATGACTGATTGGTCTGTACTTGTTTGCCAAGACCTTGCTACGGCCTTTATAAATTGGCGTGATCCGTGCAGATTCCCATTCGGCGCGCTCTAGCCACCTGAGCCACGAGGCCCCACCGGGAGCCTTGAGTTTGATCACATGTGCGTCGATTTACCCGCCGACCTACCGCAACGTCTGGAACTCACAACATCTGATACATTAAGCTGACTGTCCAAGTAGGATTTCCTGAGTAATTCACCTATAATCCACCAGATGACTACCAGGCTCACGTAATTACTCGTTTAGCAATTCCCACGCGTACTGTTTGTGTGGTATAAAAATATTTACACAAACAAGCGCTTAGTTTGGTCGGAAGCATTAAAAGTCATCCTGATCTAAACGGCTTTTTTAACTTAAAATAACTGACGTTTTGAAAGCAGGACCACTTCATATATCCAACTTATTGCATCCTGGAGAGGATGTTTGTTGCACACAGTCCGTGAGAAAAGGCGTCTTAACTTTTTTCGAGTGTTTGTGGAGGAACATATGCTACCCCTGTATGCGATTAAAAATGAATTAGTCTTTGACTTAATCCCTTTATAGTAAGGTGGCCCTACACATAAAAAATTCCGTACAAAACCAGCAGGTCACAGTGTCCAAATTGAGTTTGATTCTGTTTCCATGCACCTTTTTCCGAAGACGAACTGACTGCCTTTTTCTCGCGGCATCGACTTGTAATTTGGTCACTATTTTAGACTATAAAGTATATGATGGAATATGCATTTCCCCTTTTGAAGTTCTGAAACATTTTTGGGAGCCATATATCTTTTGGCCGATATTGTAAGGAAATCAGAGATGGTTTATTTGTGTTTTTCTCCAAAAAACGGGAATCCCAGAACTATTTAATTTCAGGTTCCCTTGTTGTTCTCACCTTCTGAGTCGGCACACATCCTGCCTAATTGCTTGTCATTATCTGCAAATGATGACCGGCTGGACGAAAGCCCTCTAAAATTGGCTACGAATGAACGGTAGAGTTCGAAACTGTACGCCTACATCTCGCTAGACACCAAAAAATACCAATGTGGGGCACTTATTTTGTATACGTAGAAACAGAAAACGTATACAGTCCGAGCCAGAACAAAGCGGCATTCTTACAAGCCAGGGCGTGAGGGGGAGGAGGGGGGTTCGTGATAGTGTTCCCT